GTATCCAGGATTTGAGCTAAAGGCATGTTAGGGTTAATGGCCATCAGGTCAGCTTTTAAATTCTTTTCGTCTTTCAACTGAGATTTTAGGTTACTTCGGGCCTCATATAAAAGACATTTCAACCCTGGTCTATTTGCTGTGGAATCATCTAATTTGGGTTTCTTAACCATGACTTCCATGATTGGCTTTGGTGTTATCTTATCACCTCGTCCCGTTTTGTGCCATACTTGAAGATTGGAGGTGCAGGCAACATGAGGATYCACATCATCCTCTGAGTCCAGATCCTTAATATCATTGCATGCATATAATGAAAATTTACAAAGCTTTAGCATCAGAGCTAAAACATGATTACAAAGTCCCACTTTGCCAGCTACACAAGTGCAACATGCTTCTATGACTTCAGCGGTTATAAGATCAAGAGCTATTTTCAATTTGTGTGGAGGTTCATTTTTTCTAAAGCTATGATGACATAGCGATTTAAAATAAAAGTACCCATTGTCGCTTGCAGCCTTTATCTCTTTCAGATACTCGTCCGCCAAAAAMGTTTTCGCTTTTGTAAGCCCAGTTGGAAGAGAATGCCCTTTACTTTGAGGATCGATAATTTTGCCAGATTTTGTAATATGTGCATCCATTTCTGCACGGTTAAAAGGTGGCATCCGCTTTAAACTAGATGACCAACCATCATCTGGAAACTTGGCTTTCTTAGGGCTGTGTTGAGATGGAGTTTGAATCGAATTCAACTTGTYCTGTCTTTGTTTACGTTTCGTATACACTTTRTTTTCGTCCGGATCTACAATATTTTTGTCTTTTCCTGCTTTGATGTACTCTTCCACCCTTAAAAATAAACGGAGGGTTTTTATATTAAGTCTTATATCAATGAAAAGTGTCATTTCATGTAAAAGTCGACAGCGGCCGCCTATCGAACACAACTATAGGTGAGATATCKCACTTTCAATCGAATTGAGTCAAACGAGTCAAATTAACTCCAGATATTTCTTAAATTTTCAATTTGAATTCAATATTTATTTASATCKGTTATGTCATTCACGATTTGTCTATTTTCTTTCTTTCGCTGCCAATAATACRAGCTTGTTTCAATTAAACGTAGGTTGAGTTGTTGTTGTCTTACCGTTTGACAAGCTGGGCTTTCGTCTTCAGACCTTTAGCGGGATCTCCTCTACATTTTAGCCAGAATTTGAGTTCCTCTACTTTCAGATTAGCTGGAGCTCTTCCACCAAGTGACGATCCGGGGATATCTGTTTCTAAAAGCTTTGGATTGTTTGAATCAGAGCTCATTTTATATCAAAACGCGAGCTTCCTTCCAGGGAAAAGCCGCCGCAGTCCCAAACAAGGGCTGACCGACCTCGCTTTCGTGCAAACTCGTTTCCAGGCTCCTCGTTTACATTTTCGTTTTGCAAAGCGTGTATGCTAACCCTAGGTTTAAAACTGAAGAGCTGAGTGTTGCATACTACTTGAGAAAATAGAAATATATGCATTTCCCTTCTCAAACTTACCTTTTCTTTCATTCTCTCTCTTTCTCTTTCCCTCCTTTTCCCTCCTTCTCTTTCTCTCTCTCTCTCTCTCACTCTCTCACACATACATAAACAAAAGCATTTTCAATTCTTAATGCGGCCATGGTAAGACTTCGTTTATCATTGGTGGTATAAACTTCTTGTATTGGTAAACTGTATTAGTAAATATTGCAGATTACGACATTAAAAGTTTAACTTATATTTTCAATTCCTTTTAACCAAGTTTAATTAAAAAGTTTAAAAAATAAAACTTACCTCCACCATTCAGCTTCCTGAATATCTTGGACTTTCATGGCTGGCTGTTCTTATGTCCAGTATTTTCAATGATGTCAAAAAAAACTTAGGATAAACCGATGTCCTTCATAGCAAGCCTCTCTGGTTTTAAGGGTTTTCTGCATCGGGAAGCAAACAAAACCCACAAAGACCACCGTTGATATCAACAGTGTATAACTTTGAAGAGTCCACTGATGCATTTAATTGCAATATATTTTGTGGGATTATACCGAAATGTTTTGACTTCAGGTAAAGTGGGATAGATCATTTACTGCGCTGTCGGAGTTCTGGTTCTTTTTAGTTTTAAAAGCTATTTTAAAATATGTTGTCATTTTCGTTAAATTTTGACAAAGGCCTAATCAATAAACTTAGGAATTATACCTCAAGAGGTTCATTTAGTATAGAACAATGATATTGTCAGCATAATGAGCACATATTAATTAGCATGGAAAGTCGTCTCAGAAATTGCTGGTGCATACATACATATGAATAGGATATACTATTATTTTATGGAAAACCACGTACATCAGACAATACTGCCTGAGTCAGGCCCTAGTCACTCAGTGGGCATGCACTGCATGTCTGATTAATTACTGATTCGGTTAAAAGCATTTTGTGTTGGCTACATATTGCATATGTACTTTTCCCTATTATGAAATTGGTAAAAAATGAAAAACAAAGAAATTTGTAATTTGTAAAGAAAAGGTATATCTTGCATATTTCAATGTTACCTCAAGGTTAAATGCTAAAACAAAAACAAAAGTTTTATTTTTTTTCGTGTGATTTCTCTTGAAACACGAGCTATTAATATCAATGATAAATAATTTTTGCTTTTCATCGATAGGTTAATTTAAAAAGTCTCAAGATAAATCATCCCATTGTGAATGCTAAGTTTCATCTTTTATACAAAACAGTGTTATTAATATGTTAAAATATTACTAAAATGTTATCCGTTGTGCAACTACTCATCTTGTTGTGATAAAAACAACTAAGAATACCGAATTAAGAAGAACAAAGATAGTGCTACTTGACGAGGAAACACTGTGTATAATAACTAGGAATGGATGGTAAATAATGTAGCCTAGTTTAGAAATAATTTACGCTGCTTTTTGCAATTAACCTCATCAACAGCACTAGTGCATTATAATCACACGAATATCATTTTGTAACCCCACTTTTGACCCTTAGTTCATACTAAGCGTGAACCTTTAGTTACACCGATAAGTTTCTAATGATTTTGTTTAATTTTATACTGAGATTTCTGTGCTTCAATATAACCACAAATTAGACCATGCCACCGCTCTTCGCATATGGTTTCCAGTGTTTTCTAGTCCCAAAAAAAATTAATTCAGTCTAGTTTAACTAGCTTTTATTATTTGTCGAAGTCTTTTTAGAACTGACATTAATCATTAATTACTGGATAAGGGAATTTGTCGGAATACATAAGAAGGAAGGCGGCAATGGTTATTTTGTTGTTTGTACGAATTGTATTATGAACAGAAAAGGAAAAGCTAAACCACAAAAGTACGCAAACCATTGACAAGTGAGACATACTATTTCTGGGTGAACTTTGCTTTACGCGATAACTGATTCAAAAAGTATACCGATGTCAGTAATAACAAATGAATCTGGAACACCAACATATATATTTCATGATAAGTATTACGGTTAGCGTTGTATCGGACAAAGAAAAAAAAAAAAAAAA